TACAGCATCACGTGGCTCGATGCACTCACATACCTGTAAGAGGCACCCTGGGTTTTCTCTTTCTATGTGCATATCATCACTGCTGGCCAAGGTGCATGACGTTTTATTTTCCCCGTTTTTTTTCTTCCAGGCTCTTTCTGTAACAAAACGTTTTCATAACAAACGACTGATTTGGTGGGAAAAAAGCACCTACTATTTTTCTTGTTAGGTTTCTAACCTGCTGTTGTACTAGACAAGACATGAGCAACTGGCGAACTCAAACGTGTTTGAGTCGAAAATGCCGAACATGTCTTGCAACCGAACCGAACATCGAACATTTTTGTAGGTTTAGGGGTGTTCGATGTTCGTTTTGCAGGGGCGAACATTTCACAGATTTCCCGAACATCACCATGTTCGAGGCGAACCCGAAGATGTTCGGTTCGCGAATGGGGTTTCCCTAAGTCATCCTAGACATTTCTAGGCTGGGGAGCCTAGTGAAAAAAAAAAAAACGCAATATCGGTGGGAGAATGACGGGAAACACAATCGGTGTATTGTGGTTGGTTTTTTCTTCCTGGGCTGACAGGAAACACAATCGGTGGGGTGCGAGAATGTTTTCAGTATTTCGCATTTCACACTTTCGAATTGATCTGCATTGGACTCTATTCGCGACGGCGATTTCGCAAAATTTGCCCAACCAGCCAGCCCATCCATCCCACCCAAAACCGGCAGTACCACAATGCACCTCCTAAATCCAACCAGGCCTCATACACAAAACTAACGCAAGCAAAAACACACACTCACTTCACACGCTAATCTACTCCCGCTACTATGCTATACCTAATCCGCACACTACATCCAACTCTGAGGAATATATACAACCAGTACGCCAGCTTGGCATGCTATTTTAGACGCGAACACTTTACTGTTCAATGTTCGTCATACCATGCAAAAAAAGGCGCGACGAACCGAACATGTTCGAGTCGAACTGAACAGACGTTTGAGTTTTCGCTCATGTCTATGTTGTCCCATAGGCGTTTGTTTTGTAAGTACGACGAGGTGATGCACCAGACCAGGGGATGCTGTGAAGCTTTTTTATGGTTATTTCAACATATGAGTATGTATGTGTTACAAATAAACGTATATATTTTGTTTTCCCCAAAAGATACCATCAAACTATGTTGAGGAAGACGCTTAGGAAGGAGACGTAGACGCACACGAAGACGCAGGCCGGTCGGCGGATCTTTTTTGGGCTACCCGGAAAAAAAAAAAAAAAAAAAAAAAAAACGGAAACAATGGTCACCAAACGAAAAAAAGAAAGGTTGGATACGTTTTCTTTCATGGCCACAAACGGAAACATGCAAGAAAGTTTTCGTCCTCTTCCTCCTACTGACTTTCGCCATCAACGTTGTCCCTTTTATCAAACTGAAATCATATTTTGGAACTGATTAAAACTGGTTAGAACGACGGCTTTTACCATACTGCTTTTACGGGTGTTTTTTAAAAACAAACAAACAAAAAACTCTGCATGCCCACTCCTCCCCCCCTCTGCTGGCTGCATCACTTTGTCACTCCTCAATCGTCCATGCTGCATCGACCTTTTGGTAAGACAAGGGCAACGAGGCGAGTAAAAAACTCGACTCGTTTTTATTACTCGTTTTAGGCGAGTAACGAGTAGGGCAAATCGCATTTTTTTCTCGTCCGAGGCGAAGCGAGTAATGCTCTCGAGTAAAAAATACTCGCCTTTTACTCGTGTTTTCATTGAGTAATTGTGATCTCGCGAGTACAGATTGTACTCGCGATTAATTTGATACTCCTCTTGTCCTGATCCCCGCAGCAGTGGGTGTGAAGAATCAACATTTCTAGATCTGGCGGATCATTTCAGTACAACCCGCCAGCCTACTAGATCTAGCGTTTTAGATCGTGCACGGCCATTATGCAACCAATTAGAGGCCAACTATGTAAATCTATCTATGTAGATCTAGTCTAGCAATCAACTAACGTTTTATATCTGCTTTTGTAGATCGCCCTGGACTACTAATAGTCAAGCGTAATTAGGTAACTTGCACGCATGTAATAACTCGTTAAAAACGCTTTAATACGGTTCCAAGAGGTCTTTGGTTCTAAAGAAACGTTGTTTTAGACGGTCGTTATCAAACTAGCGGGGCACCAAACCATGGGACCATAACTAAGCAGGACGAAAGGGAAGCTGGGTACTAATTCATCAAGTTCTGCACATAGTTGTTAACCCTTCCTTGCATGTTGCCCTTTGTGGCCATGATTGTGAAAGTATTCAACCATTTTTTCTTTCCTTCTTTATTTGTGACCTGGGTTCTCAAGCAAAAGAACAGCTGAATTTTTTTATATGATCGTAAATAACGGACTGTATTTTACAAGCCTCTCGTCTCATCACGTCCAACTCACTCAACCCTACACAGTGATCTCAGCTCCAACTCGCTCGTGGGCTCCATTCCCGACAGCATCTCTGCGCTCACGGCACTCGCATCTCTGTAAGAGGTGCACTGGGTTTGCTCCACCTGCGTGCTCCACCTGCAGAACTCAAATCTGCAACTACAGAGTCAATCTTTGCAATCTCTGTCATTCCTGTGCACCCGCTTGCCTTCCAATAGCCCTTATGTGATCTCAGCTCCAACTCGCTCGTGGGCTCCATTCCCGACAGCATCTCTGCGCTCATGGCACTCGCATCTCTGTAAGAGGTGCACTGGGTTTTCTCCACCTGCGTGCTCCACCTGCAGAACTCAAATCTGCAACTATAGAGTCAATCTTTGCAATCTCTGTCATTCCTGTGCACCCGCTTGCCTTGCAATAGCCCTTAAGTGATCAATCATTTTAAGTCCCTGCCACCCTTTGTGGATAGGCTTCTGAGCCTCTCGCCTCACCACGTCCAACTCCCTCACCCACACAGGGATCTGAGCTCTAACTCCCTCACCGGCTCCATTCCCGACAGCATCTCTGCGCTCAAAGCACTCGCATCTCTGTAAGAGGCACACTGGGTTTGCTCCACCTGTGTGCTGCTCTGTCCACTGGGTGCTGCATGCCATGTGCGCATCACTGCTGGCACTCCTCCACTGCCCATGCACTCAACACACTGGTTCCATCCGTTGTTGTTTGCATCCATTTGCCACTCCTTGTTCTGCCCTACTGCACCAACCTACTTGCTGTACTTCATTGAACCTACGTGTTGTTTTGAACTCATTCCCGCCAGTACACAATCTCAACCTGTACAATCGCGGGCAGGAAGGGAAGGGTGAGGAAAGAGGGTTGTGGAAGCAGCAAAAAGAAGGCAGCAGGAAGAGGCATGAGAGGATGAGCAGAGAGAGACAGTACTGAGCAAGGCTGAAGGGAGATTCCGACATGGCGCATGACGAAATCGCGAAGTCGTCACGACCAAATAAAACAAATAAAACCGGGCTGTCGAACACAATGGCTGTTGGGTTGGCGCATAAATTTTTGGGCATCTGTGAAATGTTTATGTTGTTTTCTTGTAACTCAACCTCCGCAAATCAATGTGGTATTTAAGCTCACAGGACATCCACTTTGTGGTGTGAACGAGGCTTGGTCCGGACGTCCACTTTGACGGACGATGGCCCCATTTAGTGACGAGGAGATAGCTAAGAAGGATTAAAAGCTTAAAAATGAACTCCAATTCCCATTTCTTACCTGAATTTAAACTTGCACTCAAGTTGCCCCTCAGAACAGAGATCGAACAGGTCGAATTGGGTTAATAGGATCTTGTCAAACCAAAAAGGATGAAAACATAACTCTACTTTGGTTCCACACGAACCGGTTTGCCTAAACCGATCCAAGGTTCGGTTTATCCATGCTTAGTTGACATCTTTATAAATCTGTTTCGTGTCTTGTGCATGCAACCATCCGCACACAAGTTGCCCAAGCATATTCTCTCGTGTGCCGATCTGCCCATTTCCACTGCAGCGACACATCTGGCACCAGCCTCACTTGTCCTGCTGCTGACAGCACCACCTGCGCCCAAACCTTATCGCCAAAGGCGGCCTTCTGCCAGGATTGTGCCATCACCTGTTCTGCGTGCCAGCAAACAGCAGGTTAGTGGGGGTGATGAAGCTGTGCCTGGTTTACTTGAATCGCCCCCACTTCTGCGATACTTGTGCTGTTATGATTGGCAGTTCATTCTCTTTGCTCAAAATAATTCCTATCCCTTTGCTCACCTGACATGCTTGTGTTATGCTCAAGCAGCAGCATCTGGAGGTGGAGGTGGTGTATCAGTGGGAGCCATTATTGGCATTGCCGTTGCTGCTGTGGTCGTCCTCCTCCTGCTTTTGGCTGCCATGCTGCTCTGCTTCAGGCATCAGAAGCGGCAAATCTCAAAATGTAGGAGGAGCAGGACTGGTGCTCCATGTGCTCAGCTCAGCTCCCACCTCCCCACCTCCTCCTTGTTAACATGGTTCCTCTTCCTTTTGTCTACTTATTTTGTATGCCTGTGCTCGATAACAACAAGGCAAGACAAGGCGAGGGCTCGCTCATTACCTCCTCACTCTTCGCCCCCCACCCCACCGCCATGCCCAGGGGCCAGCCCGGCAGCGGCGCACTGCACGGAGTTCTCGCTAAAGGAGGTGCTGCGGGCCACCAACGACTGGTCGCAGGACAACCTGCTTGGCTCGGGTGCCTTTGGTGATGTCTACAAGGGCGTCTCTCCCCATGATCGCACCACACCCTGGGCTGTGAAGCGCGCCAACCTCATGGGCGCAGAATTCCAGGGGGAGGTGAGTGCCGCATATGGGGAGATGGCTGGACTACAGACTCCGTCAGTCAACATGGGGATAAGACAGTTCGGTTTTCCATTACTTTCAAACAGAAAGACGCTTCATCTAAGAATGTGCTATCTATTTTGATCAGGACTATTCAGCTTCCCTAAGCTGAGCGAGCAGAATCACTGTTCCTCCTCCTCTTCTCAACCTACTCTTTCTTTCCTGCCGCCTTCCTCCTGTTCCCGTGTGCCGGTTCTCACTTCCTCCAGGTCAAGCAAATGGCCGACAAGAACCATCCCAACATTGTGCGACTGCTTGGGTTTGCGGTGGGAGGGGACGTCAGGTCTCAGATAGAGCAAGTCCTCATCTACGAGTTTGTGCCCAATGGTGACCTCCATATGTGGATAGGACCAAGTAAGTGTGCAAGTTGTTGTGTCGCATTCCCTTGTACAATGTTACTCGTGGTAGGCCACTCATGCTGCCTGGTGATGCTTGTCGTGAAACTCATCCCGTGGCTTGTTGCAGATGCACCTTTTTCTCTGAGTCTGAAGCAACGGCTAGACATCCTCATTGGTGTTGCACGTGGCTTTGAGTACCTCCATAGCTTTGGCATTGTGCATCGCGACATCAAACCCGCCAACATCCTCATCACCTGCGACATGCAGGCAAGCGCGGTTGCAGCATCTCACACTGCATAACAAGATGCTTCTGTGGAAAGCAACTAGCCAGATAATTAATAGGAAAAGGTAGAGCTATGCCAAAATAATTGGTTGTTCTAGTTTGGCTCATCTAGTCTCGCTTTTTATCTAGTTCTGCATATGGCTCACGCTCACTTACACGTTCGTGTTTCTTGTGTCTGGATGCAACCAGCGTATGTCGTTTGTTGTGTCACTATTGTTGTTTCTTTCTCTTGTGCTGGTGCATTCTTAATATCACATTTATCCAACCACACATCAGCCCAAGATTGCAGACTTTGGGCTGGTGAGGGTGGAAGAGGGCACGACAGTGGGCACGACTCGAATCATGGGAACACCGGGCTATGTGGATCCGGTTTACAACCGGACTTACAAGGCCACCACAGCCAGCGATGTCTACAGGTGAGCAAAGAGCCATATATAGATCGTGCTATGTGAGCCAGAAGACTTTGGGAGTTGGCTCAAATAAACAAGACTCCCTGGAATTAAAAGAGTGGCAGTAACCTGTCAGATGTCATGTCGATATTGGCTTATGCATCAAACTTGCACCTGGAACAAGCATGTCATGGAACACCACTGAAATCTTCAACAGGTTATTTGGATTCACACAATAGAGTTTTCATATGCATGTCACCATTGCGTTGCTCTCACCATCACATTGCTCTCACCACCTCTCGCACGTTGCAGCTTTGGTGTGCTCATGCTTGTGGTGCTCACTGGACGGTCTTCACTTTTCGAGGATGCTGGGGAGACCAAGCACATCGTGGTGTGGGTAAGTTCCACTCAGGAAGCTTGTTGCATGTTGCCATAATCGCATTCTTCCAATTGAAGTGATATATTCTGCTTCATAGGCTCACTGATATGTATTTCACCTTTACAAACTTGCGATTTTGTCCATCATGTTCCACTCTCTCAGGTATCCGAGTGCCTGTCATCGGGTGGTTTAGAGAGCCTCAAGCACCCCACCATGGACGCCCCTGGGGATGTTGTGAAGCGCTTGGCTGATCTGGCAGTGAGCTGCACCGTGGAGCGCACTGCAAGCCGCCCAAGCATGGTGCACATTGCCACCCAGCTGCAGGCTGTCAGGGAGGAGGTGTTGGGGAAAGAGGAATCTGGCGCTGCCATCAAGGTGGATGCGCAGGTCCAGGAGATGAAGGATGCTGTTGCGGGTGAGGACAGCCTGGATGCACAACTTCAAATGATTGCGGATAGGGGCAGCTTCATCACCGAACACCCAGTCTAGGATTGGGATGGGGTTATCGTGGTTCATATGTGACATTGTTGCATTGTATGCATCATTCCAGCCTCCTGATTGCTTTGGGGGGCCCAAGGGACTGCCCTGCTGTTTGTGATACTTACCGTTACTTGCTCATTTTTACACCTTTTCTTTTTACACTATAGGACGGCTTGACTTTTTACACTATAGGACGGCTTGACTTGTCTTGGCTTAGTGGAGGGAAATCCTTGTTTCCACCTAAATCATGTGCAACCCTCCATGCCAGGGCTGACACTACGAAGTACAGACCTTGAAAAACTGCATAGGCTTCTATGTGGAGCATTGCAGTTATATTCAGTTCTCAAATATAAGCGCACCCCCTAAAAAAACGTGATTTGTTAAAAGCGCACCCCTATCACTGTAACAAATTTCACCTTAGCGGGCGAGTTCCAAATCCAGTCCCCTTCACTCTTGGGTCACTTGCTGCACGTCTAGTCAGAATGTGCTGCCATACTGGCTCTATGTGTTGGCCAAGTTGCGCGTGGCAGACATGGCAGACAACGTACAGACATTCGTCATCTCGTTCAACACCTGCCAACGGATGAAGAGCAGCAAATAGAAAAAGGAAGGGTTACACCAGCCTCTTCCTATCCCCGAACAGCCATGGCAAGTGGTTAGCCTGGACTTCATCACCACGTTACCACCAGTAGCACCAACAACAGCACAAACAGCTCCAGGCACAGCACCAGCAGGAGAAGTAGCATTGGTATATGGCAGTGTTGTGGGCGACACATGCTCCTAATTGAGAACGCGCGTGTCGTCAAACTCCAGGGACTCCAGGGCAGCCTCGGCTCGGAGACCTGCTGTGCGCTGCACACCACCAGCAGCACCTCCAGGTGCTCTAGCCCATGCACTGGCGCAAGGGTGCCGTCCTGGGAGAGCGGTAGAGTCGACGGAGGGACTTGATGAGGCTGGGATGGATGATGGAATCAACCACTAACATCTGCCCCCGCTGGTTTCGAGAGAGACTTGAGAGTACCGTGGGCAGAGAAGGAGAAACGAAAACGGTAGCTAACCACCATAGGAAGCACTTCCCGGTACACCAAAGCTCTCACCCAATGGTGCTTTGGTCTGGGCCACTGCGCCACTCGCAGCCTTTACTTGTCACGTCCTTATTTTCACCTTATTCAGTCCCTGCACTGCACATCCCAATATCCGCAACAGAGCAGCAATGTGTGAAGCACAGCGTTCTTCTCTCAACTCCAACCCTTGCTCAGGGGATGAACCTCTCAAGGCACAATCTTCAACCAGGACGTGTAGCGTACAGTGGACATGTTGTGATGCGCCTTGCCCTCCCCTTCCCGATCCCTAACCCACCCCAACCCTTTCAGGTGGGACCACAACTGCGAGAGGGACTTTGCGTGATATGCTTCCCTCTTTGACGAGGCAGCACAGCACATCCCAATCGCTACACACTCCCCTCCCCCACATAACCCCGCTCCCCTCCACCCCTCCCTTCCCTACCCTATCCCTTCGCCACGCTTTCCCCTCCCCTGCCCTTTTCTAGCTTCATGGGCCCGCCACTCCATCCCCACCCTCCCTTTCCAGTTGGGACCGCAACGGGGCTCGGGACTTTGCGTGGTACGTGTCTCTGATCGACGAGGCAGCGCAGCACATCGTGAACACGGGGGGAAGCGCGGTCACATGCGAGGCGTCCAGCACGCTGCTCACAAGCTCAGCGTGGTGCTGCGAGGGCATGTGGACAAGAGGCACACTGTGCCACAGCTGCTACACCTGGTTCTGCCGAGGAGCAGGTTCATTGTGATTCTCCGGAACCCCGTGGATCGGTTCTTCTCCAAGTTTAACCTCGCTGCTGCTGTCAACCCATCCCCAGGGACTTTCATAAATACGTAAGTGCACGCACTGAACTGTATCGAATCGCAACACACCGCTTTGTATTGCACTATCTCCCCCCGCTCTCCCGCATCTCAATCGCTCCCTGCCCCCTCCGCCACTCCTCACACCACACACCCACTATGCAAATCAATCTCACTTTTCTCTACACCCATCTCACACACAATGATGACTCACCCTCTCGAGTGGTCGTTCTATCGATATACGGGGGCACTGTAAATTTCAAGGTGAGGATTTCATCAGCCATGCCATGCTATCCTTAGAACCACTCTACTTGAGCTTGCAAGCCAGCGCAAGGATTTGCAACAGGTTCCCTCCCCCCCAGGCCGAGGGGCTCCGTGTGAGCAAGCACGGCGATGGGCTTCATCACGGCGGTTATAGGACGGAGTGGTGGCGCATGCGGTAGCATAATAGTGCTGCCAGCACCCCAACGGACATGCCCCTTTCCGTCCCCCGGTCTCCTCCTTCCCATTCGCGTCACCACCATCCGTCCCCACCCTTTCAACATAGTCTCAAGACAAGATCCCGCAACGTACGCATGAGGGCCTGAGGGTATGAGGGGGCATGAGCACATGAGCACATAACACAAGAAGGCATGAGGGCATGTGCAGGTATGGTGTCCTTCAGACACTCCAAGGTAAAAGCCCACGGCTTCCCTTCAGCACGTCCCCTTCACCCCCTCTCACCACCTCCCACAACGTCCCCTGCATCGCAGTCTGAAGACACCATAGCATAGGTGAGAGTACTTGTGGAGAAGAAAGGACTGCATGCGTTTCCAAATTAGCCATGAGAAATGCAACAACGGCAGGTGCAGGACCCGAGAGGTGGGCGTGAGAGCAAGCACCGTGGCTGCAACGAGCAGCTGGACAGCGCGGCTCAGCACCTCCGGGGGCGTGCCTGCTACAGGCAGCAGGTGCAGTTATGGCAGATAGGGCCACAGTGACCTCAGCCATAGCAGATGCAGCAGCGACAGGTGCAGGACCCGGCAGGTGGGCGTGAGAGCAGGCGCTGTGGCTGCAACGAGCAGCTGGACAGCACCGCTCAGCACCTCTGGGGGCGTGCCTGCTATAGGCAACGGCTGCAAATGCCCGACTTACTTCTTCCACCCCCTTACCCGCCCACGCAACCCCTCTGGTGCTGGCGGCTAGCGGTGGTGCTGGTTCCTGGTGCTGGTGGCTGGCGCTGGTGCTGGTTCCTGGTGCTGGCGCTGATGCTGGTGCCTGGTGCTCGCGGCTGGCGCTTGTGCTGGGTCCTGGTGCTGGCGGCTAGCGCTGGTGCTGGTTCCTGGTGCTGGCGGCTGGCGCTGGTGCTGGTTCCTGGTGCTGGCGCTGGTGCTGGTGCTGGTTCCTGGTGCTGGCGGCGGGCGCTGATGCTGGTTCCTGGTGCTGGCGGCTGGCGCTGGTGCTGGTTCCTGGTGCTGGCGGCTGGTGCTGGTGCTGATTCCTAGTGCTGGCGCTGGTGCTGGTGCTGGTTCCTGGTGCTGCCGGCTGGCGCTGATGCTGGTTCCTGGTGCTGGCGGCTGGCGCTGGTGCTGGTGCCAGGTGCTGGTGGTGATCGCTGGTGTTCCGCCGCCACTCCCTTCCACCTTTTCCTCTCTCCCCCACAGCATTCCGCCGCCACTCCCTTCCCCCTTTCCCTCTCCCCCTACAGCGTTCCGCTGCCAATCCCTTCCCCTACTCCCTCTCCCACCCACAGCGACCGCCGCTGCACACGCGAACAGTCGCGACGGGGGGGGGGGGGGGTGACGGGCAGGGGGGCGGGGGAATGCAACGGGCGGAGCGAGGCGACGGGAGGGAAGAAAGCGGGACGGGGGGGGGGGGGGAGGAAGGGCCGCGACGACCGCCACGGACGCTGTCCCCTTCATTCCCGATTCTCCGCGGTGCTGTACGGTTCTGGGCGGGGTAGAGTAACTGGTGGGGCGGCTGACTTCAGGGTGAGGTGACTGGAACGGGTGGTACAGCAGGCACCGGGTGAGTCAGCGGGGACGGGTGAGACGGTAGCGCAGCTGACGAGCTGCGCGTGCGTGCAACTATGGCCGCGCGTGCGTGCTGCTAATGCCGCGCGTGCGTGCGGCTAATGCTGCACGTGCATGCGGCTAATGCTGCGCGTGCGCGCACTCGCATGTGCGGCTACGACTGCACGTGTGCATGCGTCTGTTGCGCGCTAGTGGGCTGGCGAGCTACGTACGGGGCAGAGAACGGGTGAAGCGCGGGTGAGAAAACGGGTGACCCACTTGGCAAAACGGGTGACGCGAGCTGGGCAAAACGGGCGCTACGGGCTAGATCGGGGCACGGGGCGGTGGGCCCATAGGTCGGTCTAGCTCTATACCATGTTACGATACGATCTGAGCTGGTAACCGGGTTTAACAAAGGGCCTAGGCTTCTAAGCAGGTATCGAGGGAGTTGGGCGAGGAGGTTGACAAGAAATGATTGTGTTCACTATAGGACCAAAGGTACATATAGCAAACAAACAAGAGGTGCACCACCAACCAGGTTTGTATAACTACACTAAAGCTAAAGCTACAGGCAGTTATAAACATGTATAAATATATATCGCGACACACAGCACCTCAAGGCACATGCAATTCCCTTCCTCCCCCCTACTATGCACCACTCCTCCTCCATCCCCTTCCAAACCCAGGCTTGAGATGCCACTGGGGAGATAACTAGTTCAACGGGAGCTAGACTACGGGCTAGGCACGGGGCTGAGTGATCTCTGCGTTCGTTAGTTGTTTCCTTAGTGCGCACAATACTTGCTAGTTCACGGGGAAAAATGGCAAGAGTTTCACTAAGCGAAGTTCACAACAATGATCCAATAAAGTTGAGCTAGGATGCAAGCAGGACGACTGCCAGCGCAGCATGGTCGACCGCGTGCCAGCACGACTTGGTCGACCGCGCTACAGCAGTGCAGAGTCGCGGCTTGCCAACACTGCAGATCGACGGCGCGCCAACAGCGCAAGTCAACGGCGTGCTCAGCGTTGCTCCCGCAGAACAACGTCGCACCCGCTTCGCCGGTGCTTGCAGATGATTGGCGAGCTGGGCCTTGTAACCTGCACAGCCCAAACACCATATCGTCCTCGTGCTGACGACTGCATTTGATCAGCCACGTCGACCTCGGGATACCACCACCGAGGTCGGTCTTGCCAAAACCACCTGAGCGACCCTCGCACTCCTCCACATAACTTCGTCACCCAGGTAACCTGGTCGACCGAGCAACCACGTCGACCAGCTGCTCCTTCACATGCCCTTCGACCACCTAGGTCGACGACCACCTCTAGTCGACCTCACCAGGTCGACCACACCCTTGGTCGACCAGCTCCATCAACGACACTCCTGGTCGACCAGCACTCCTGTCAGCCGACCACACCCAGTCAGCTTCCCCTGGTCAGCGTCACCCAGGTCGACGCCTCCACAAGTCGTCCTTCCAAGGTCGGCGCCCTCCCAAAGTCGGCGCCCTTGCAGTGGCACCCATGCATGTCGACCAGCCCTGTCGACCAGCTCGTCCACTGCTGCAGGTCGGCTGCACCCCTCACACCCGACCACGAAGTCGGCTCCGCCCGAGCGAGGACAGGGCCATCAACGACCCCCGTTGACACTCCCCTGCCGCGTTCACGCTTGGGCCCCCAGCCCATACGGCAGCACTACTCGGAGAATAGCTCGTCGTCGTGCACCCAACACACAACACGCCGGTCACCGCACCAGCCATGCTAGAGGGCATGGCACCTACTGCTGCACGTCGTCACGCCATCGCCCATGTCGGCCAGGCGCACCTGGCCGATTGCGACTGAGCACTGGTTGAAGGCCAGGTAGTGCAGCGCCTTCGTCAGGAAGTCGGCCGGCTACTCGGTGGTCGGGATGTACTTCAGCGAAAACTTCCCGCGCTTCACCATATGGTGCAGCCAAGCCTGTCGCCGCTCCATGTGTTTGAGGTTGCCCGTCAACCCCATGCCCTCAGCGACCTTGATGGCCGACTTGTTGTCCACCCGAAAGACGGTCGGCTTCCCGGCATCCAACTGCCGGAACTCTGCGAGGAGGAAGCGCAGACGACGTCCGTCCTTGTCGGCTTCGGTTGCCGCCACGTACTCCGACTCGGTCGACGACAGCGTCGCGCACTTGATGCGCTGGCTTGACCAGGAGATTGTGGCCCCTCCGTAGATGAACATGTAGCCGCCTGTGCTCGCCCAGTTCTGCTAATCGCCGGCGTCGTCGGCGTCCACGTAGCCGACCAGCTTTAGGGACTCAGGTCCACCGCCAAACTCCAGGGCGGTGTCACGTGTGTTGGCGAGGTAGGCGAGGCAGCGGTTGACCTCGCGCCAGTGCTGGTCGCTCCTCACCGTAAGGCCGCTGCCAAGTTTGTTGTAGGCGAAGGCGATGTCCGGCCTCGTCGTCGTCGCCGCAAACTGAAGTGAGCCGACCTTCTGCCGGTACTCCTCCTCCTGGCGCTCCTGTGCCTCCTCGTCGTCGAAGGTGAGCTCGGTGTAGGCGTCGACCGAGACCGCCGTCTTCGGGGTGCGCCCGGTCTGTTCCTCGTCGATGAACCGCCTGCGCAGCTTGTTGGCGTAGCCCTGCTGAGCCACAGCTTCCTCGCCAGCCTGTCGCGCACGATCTCCAGCCTGAGGTACTTCTGCACCAGCGAGATCTCCCGCAGCTCGAAGGCGGCCTCAAGCAGCTCCTTCAACTCCTTCAACATCTCGATACTACTGCTGGCGGCGAGCAGGTCGTCGACGTAGACTAGCACCCAGCAGGTCACTTTGTCTGCGTTGACCTTAAAGTAAAGGGCCTCGTCGACCTGGCTCTTCTTCCAGCCAGCGCCGACCAGCACGTCGTTGAGAGCCTTGTACCACAGCAGCGGCGACTGCTTCAACCCATAGAGGCTCTTCAGCAGCTTACACACCCGGCCGTTCCCGTTGTTGAAGTAGTCCGGCTGGTACATGTACAGCACCCGATCAAGCTTGCTCTGCAGGAAGGCGTTCTTCATGTCGAGCTGCATCAGGTTGAGGTCGAGGACGGCGACGATGCTGAGGAAGATCCTCAGCGTGACGTAGCTGCTCACCTGCACGTACGTCTCATCGTAGTCGGCGCCATACACCTGCGTGAAGCCCTTCACGACCAGCCTCGCCTTCTCGCCCTCGACGGTGTCGTCGATGTGGTACTTCATCGTCAACACCCACTGGTTCTTCATGTTGTTCACCCCGGGTGGACGTTCGACCAGCTCCCACGTGCGCATGCCGATGAGACTGCGGATCTCCTTGTCCATGGCGGCTTTCACCGCCTTGCCCTTCCAGCTTGCCAACGCCTCCTTCACCGTCGTCGTCGAGATGTCCCAACGGTGTTCGGTGTCGGCGTGCATGTCGGGGTCGAGCTCCAGCAGGTCCTCATCCTCCTCGGTGTTGTCGTATAGCAGGTCGTCGTCGTCCACGTCGTACAACGCGGTGAAGGCAGCTGGTACAAAGAAGTCGGGAGGCCTCTGAAGTCGGCCTGACTTCCGTGGTCCAGGCTGAACTTCCACCACGTCGCCATCGGTGGATGTTGTGGATTCCTCAGCGTCCGACTGCTCCCCTTCATCGTCACCGGCGTCGCTGCCCTCATCGTCCTGCTGCACCTCAGTCGGCGTCCCAACTGGCTTCTTCCCTGCGGTCGGCTCCCATGCCGACTACCCTGTCGCCGACTGCTCATTGGTCGGCTTCGGTGCTGCCTGTTCCCCTGTCGACTGCTGACCTGTTGACGCCTTCTTCACCGGCTCCACCAAATTCAGCAGCTCCCCTGTCGTCGGCGGCTTCTCTCCCACGCCGACTGGCTTGACGTCACCTAGCCTAACGACGATGCTCTTGGTCGGCGCCACAGGCGACGCCCCACTTCTCCCCTCATCGCTGGGGGCCGACACCGGAGGTAGCCCACGCATGTCGGCAACAAGGGGAGGAGCAAGGGGGGCAGGGGAAGGAGAAGGAGGGCGGATGACTTCAGCGTCCTCATCAGCTAGCCCTCCGACCTTCGGCGAGCAGAGGGAGGGTCGCCGTCGAGGTGCCCGTCGGCGGGTTGGCCAGCGTCCGCCCCGACGCCGGCCCGTGCTCCGACTTCCACACCTCCAGCGACATCGTCTCGTAAAACACCACGTCCGACTTGGTGACCACCCGGTGGTCGGCGAGGTCGAGGAGCTCCCAGCCCTTGCTCTCCGCCGACACGCCGAGATGAATACCCCACCTAGCCTTCGGCTTCAGCTTCCCACCACGCTGCTTCTCGGGGACCAGAAACTGCGCAATGCTGCCCCACACCTGTGCCAGCGACAGGTCGGGCTTCTTCCTGGTGAGCAGCTGGTACGGCGTCGTTCCCGGCGGCAGCGCCGACCTCTCAAGGCAGTTGCGGACCCAGACGGCCTACCGCAGAGCGAGGTGCTACCAGTGGTGCTGGACGCCCATGTGAAGTAGCATCGTCTGCACCGACTCCACCACCGTTCTCATCTCCCACTCCGACATGCCGTTCTTCTGCGGGGTGTACGGGCAGGTTCGCAGTCGATCCCCTTGCTGTCCACGAAGGCGGTGAAGTCTTTCCCGAGGAACTCCCCTCCCTGGTCAGAACGCAGCATCAGCACCGACTTTTGCGACTGCCCTCAGCCATCACTAGCCACCGCACGAACTCCTGCAGCACATCCAACATCTTGGCGACCGGCCTCACCCACACATAGCGGGTCTTGCGGTCCTTCAGCAGCAAGAAGTACAAGCTGCATCCTTGGCAGCCACACGGAACGGCCCGCACAGGTCGATGTGCACGACGGTCAGCACGTCGTCGGCGTTGGAGCCCTGGTCGAGGAAGGTGTGCCGCGCCAGCTTCCTGCCTACGCACGAATCACACGGTGAGTCGGCGGCAGACGCCGATTTGAAGTCCAGTCCAGTGGCGACCTCGTGCGTCGCCGAGCTCCATATGGTGTCCATGCCGACGTGTGCAAGGCTCGCATGCAGCCTGTCCGGCGTCGACTTCGTTGCCGAGGCTATCGCCCGCAGGGCCACCACCCCCGTCATGGGCGTCGTCAACGTCGCCGAGCAGGGACGCAGGTCGGTGCAGAGGACTCGGCCGGTGTAGGATGCCCGACCGAGGAAGTCCCCTGCCGCCATGACGAGCAACATCCCGTCGGCGTCCTCCTTCAGCTTCACTCCGTTCTCCTTCTGCTAGCCAGCCGACAGCAGGTTCGCGTGCATGCCTGGAACGTAGAGTATGTCGAGAATCAGCACCTGCTTCCCGGCCTCCCCTTGCAAAGCGACAGTACCTCGCCCCTGGACGTCCTGAAGCGCACCATTGAAGTCGCGCACGTGCTTGACGTGGTGGGAGCAGCCGCTGTCGAGCAGGACCACCGCCGGGTTCGCCTGCACGGCCGCCGCCATCGCCTGGAATTCCTCGCCGTCCTCCGAAGCCAGCGAGACGGTCGGCTCTACGATGCCGACCAGCGAGCACGACGCCTCCTTGTCGTCGCGCTTCTTGCCGCCAGCAGAGCAGTCGGCGTCCTTCGCCGAGGTCGACGACTTGGTCGACTGTTTCTCCTTGCGTGGCTGGTTTCCTCCTCGACGCGGACGACAGCTGTACGACCTCCCGCAGCCTCCCTTGGCGTCGTCGTCGTCGGAATCACTGCAGTCGGGGTACTCGAAGGAGAGATGGTCGGGGTCGCCGCACAGCCAGCACTCCCGACGTTGACTTCTTCCTCCTCGACCGCAATCCTTGGCCGACTTCCGCTTGTCGGCATCCTTCGCCGGCTTCCACCCGCTGCTTCTACCGCCGCCAGACTGCCCACACTGCCCCAGTCGACCACCTTGCTTCGACGGGGCGGCGTAGTTCGCCTGTGCCAGGAGCTCCGAGGGCCGCTCGGCTTCTTGCATCGCTTCATCCTGCAGGATGTACAAGGTAAGAGAGTCCTTGTTGAGTGTCGCCCGTTTGCTCGGCGCCACCGACAGCCGCTTCAGCAGGTTGTAGCTGCTTGTGAGCCCTTTGATGACGTGCGCGGCGTACGACGTCGTCGAGTAGTTTACGCCGGCCATCCTCATGGCGAGAATCCGCCGAGCCCGGTTGCAGTAGTCCGTCGCCAACTCCTCTTCCCCCATCCGCAAGTGCGACAGCTGCTCCTCGAGCTGGCCGATGTACAGGTCGTCGGTGACCTGGTACGTCGACTCGATGAAATGCCACGCCCGGTGGCCGGCGTCGAAGTACTCCATGCACGACTTCAAGGCGATCTGCATGCCCGGCGAGCAGCAGCGCGAGATGACCGTTAAGGTCAGCAACTGCACAGCACGGAACTCCGCACGCAGGTCGGTATAGTGCTCCTTGGGCGTCGCCACGGTGCCACGGGCGAAGCCGATCAGCCCGGCCATTTCCAGCTGGGGCTCAATGGCTTCCTTCCAGGTGAGAATGTCAGGTCGACCGATCAACAGGGGGGTGACCGAGATCCTGTCTGGCGTAAACTTGAAGTAGCCTTAGCTTGGCGTGATGCCTCCCGCAGTCACATGGGTTGCCGACATCGGTGACAAACCGCTTCGTCGACCTCCGACGTCGCCTTGCGAGGAGCCTGCATCCATCGACGATTGCATCCCTCGCACCTGAACGCCACCGACTTCATCTGCGTGTATCACACCTCGCTGCCTCGACGTGCCTCCCGCACTGCTGCCGACCTGGTCAACGACATTAACGCCCACGTCGATGCCGCCTTCGTCGTTCACCGGTCGAGGAGAAGCATGTCGAGAAGGGTGCTCCGTCGCCCACACGGCGCAGATGCCAGCCTCGACGACTGCCCAGGGGATTGCTCCGAACTCCTGGGCCTCATGGCGTCTCCTTGCATCCTCCAGTTTTGCTTCCAGGGTGTCCATCACCTGTGTGTCACCTACGCTCACGATAGTGACTGCACGGCTGGCGGCCAACGAGCAACTGAGGTAAGTGACAACTATGTCGACTAGACTGAAAGGTAAGTCGTGTGCCGTCCACGCTCACCGCACCATGCGGAGATAACTAGTTCAATGGGAGCTAGATTACGGGCTAGGCACGTGGCTGAGTGATCTCTGCGTTTGTTAGTTGCTTCCTTAGTGCGCACACTACTTGCTAGTTCACGGGGAAAAATGGCAAGAGTTTCACTAAGCGAAGTTCACAACAATGATCCAATAAAGTTGGCAAGACAGGACTACATCAGAGCTAGGATGCAAGCGGGACGACTGCCAGCGCAGCATGGTCGACCGCGTGCCAGCACGACTTGGTTGACTGCGCTCCAACAGTGCAGAGTCGCGGCCTGCCAACGCTGTAGGTCGACGGCGTGCCAACAGCGCAAGTCGACGGCGTGCCAGCGTTACTCCCGCAGAACAACGTCGCACCCGCTTCGCAGGTGCTCGCAGATGATTGGCGTGCTGTGCCTTGTCACCTGCACAGCGCACACCCCATATCGTCCTCGTGCTGACGACTGCATCTGATCAGTCACGTCAACCTCGGGATACCACCACCGAGGTCGGTCTCGCCAAAACCACCTGGGCGACCGTCGCACTCCTCCGCAGAACTTCGTCACCTAGGTAACCTGGTCGACCGGGCAACCACGTCGACCAGCTACTCCTTCATGTGCATGTCGACCACCTAAGTTAATTACCACTTCTAGTCGACCTCACCAGGTCGACCAAACCCTTGGTCGACCAGCTCCAGGTCGACGACACTCCTGGTCGACCAGATCCAAGTCGACCAACACTCCTGTCAGCTGACCACACCTAGTCGGCATCCCGTGGTTGGCGTCACCCAAGTCAACGCCTCCACAAGTCGTCCTTCCAAGGTCGGCGCCCTCCCGAAGTCGGCGCCCTTGCAGAGGCACCCATGCAGGTCGACCAGCCTTGTCGACCAACTCGTCCACTGCTACAGGTCGGCTGCACCCCTCACCCCCGACCACGAAGTCGGCTCCGCCCACGCGAGGACGGGGCCAACAACGACTCCCCTTGACAGCCACGGCGCGCATGACTGCGTGTGCTGAGAAGGAGGGTGCACATGCGTGCGTGCGGAAGCTCTTTCGAGACATGCCGTTTCCCACTCCGCGCACCTCTTCCCCACTTCACCCCTATCCCCCCACTCAATGCTTCTCCGCTTCCCCCTTCACAACTCGTTATTCTGCTTCCACCCACCGGCCTTCCTAATCCCGCACTTCAAACTCAACATGGCCAACCCTCACTCCTGTCCCTCTTCACCCTCTCTCAACCCTCCCCTCCTCCCCCCCCCCTTCTTATTCCCTCTCTCTCCCCCTTACCTCCCCCCTTCAGGACTGTTTCCGCTCCTTCCACCCCCAGGCCTTCCTGTTCCTGCGATTCGATGACTACATGGCCAACCCCCGCCTGCACATCGCCCAAACGCTCGACTTCCTCGGCTTCCCCGCTGCTGACGTGGCAGAGGAGCAGTGGGCAGGGATCATTGACCTAGAGCGAGTGGAGCAGCGGCCGGAGGGCGTGGCGAGGGCTGAGCTGGACGGGGTCACACGAGAGTACCTAAAAGCGTTCTTCGCGCCTTTCAATGCGGATCTGGTGCGGTTGCTGCGTGATGACAAGTATTCGTGGAAGAGAGGGCAGAGGTGATAGGGGATGGGTGGAGAGGGGAGAATAAAAGGGGGAGACAGCTCGGTTTTCCAATGATTTCAAACAGAAAGGCGCTTCGGTTAAAATTGCGCTATCTATTTTGATCGTGTTTAGCAAGCAGAATCACTCTTTGGCCTCACCTTCTCTTCTCAGCCTACTCTTTCTTTCCTGGCATCCTCCTCCCCCATGTGTCGGTCTCACTTCCACTAGGTTATACAAATGGCGGACAAGAACCATCCCAACATTGTGCGACTGCTTGGGTTTGCGGTTGGAGGGGACGTCAGGTCTTAGATAGAGCAAGTCCTCATCTATGAGTTTGTGTCCAATGGTGACCTCCATAAGTGGATAGGACCAAGTAAGTCATTGTGTCGCATTCCCTTGTACAATGTTACTCGTGGTAGGCCACTCATGCTGCCTGGTGATGCTTGTCGTGAAACTTATCACGTGTCTTGTTGCAGATGCACCTTTTTCTTCATCTCTGAAGCAGCGACTAGACATTCTCATTGGTGTTGCACGTGGCTTTGAGTACCTCCATAGCTTTGACATTGTGCATCGCAACATCAAACCCGCCAACATCCTCATCACCAATGACATGTAGGCAAGCGCAAAGGCAGCATCTCACACTGCATAACAAGATGTTTCTGTGAAAAGCAATCAAGAATAGCCACGAGAATTGCTAGGAAACGGCAGGGCCATGCCAAAATATTTGCTTGTTCTACTTTGGCTCATCTAGTCTCGTTGTTCATCTAGTTCTGCATATGGCTCACACTCACTTACACGTTCGCATTTCTCGTGTCTGAATGCAATTCTGGTTCACTGTCAAAGACCAGTGTATCTTGTTTGTTTTGTCACCATTGCTTTTTTTTCTCCTTTTGTGTTGGTGCATTCATGATATCACATTATCCAACCACCCACCTGGCCAAGATTGCAGACTTTGGGTTGGTGCGGGTGGAAGAAGGCACGACAGTGGGCATGACTCGAATCATGGGAACACCGGGCTATGTGGATCCGGTTTACAACCGGACGTCCAAGGCCACCACAGCAAGCGATGCCTATAGGTGAGCCAAGAGCCATACAAAGATCATGCTATGTGAGCCAGAAGACCCTGGGAGATGGCTCCAATAATGAAGATTCCCGAGGATAAAAAACAGTGGCATGTGCCTCGTCACATGTCATGTCAATATTGGCTGATGCATTAGATTCGCACCTGGAACAAGCACGTAATGGAACAATGCTAGTTGGTCAACCCATCCAACCTAGTTGGTTGAATACTAATGAATTTTCCCTTCTTGATTAAGCACCATCGGGATCCTCCACAGGTTATTTGAATTCACAAAAACCAAAATGGTCACATTCATGTCACCATTGCCTTGCTCTCACTACCTCTCGCACGTTGCAGCTTTGGTGTGCTCATGCTTGTGGTGCTCACTGGACGGTCTTCACTTTCCGAGGGAGATCAAGCACATCGTGGTGTGGGTAAGTTCCACTCAGGCAGCTTGTTGCATGTTGCCATAATCGCATTCCTCCAAGTGAAGTATGCTGCTTTACAGGCTAACTGGTGTGTATTTCACGTTTTCAAACTTGCGTTTTTTTTCCATCCTCTTCCACTCTCTTAGGCGTCTGAGTGCCTCTCCTCGGGTGACATAGCGAGCCTCAAGCACCCCACCATGGACGCCCCTCCCGGGGATGCTGTGCAGCGCTTGGCTGAGTTGGCAGTGAGTTGCACCGTGGAGCGCACTGCAAGTCACCCAAACATGGCACTCATTTCCAACGAATTGCAGACTGTCAGGGAGGAGGTGGCGGGGAAAGAGGAATCTGGTGCTGCCATCAAGGTGGATGCGCAGGTCCAGGAGATGAAGGATGCTGTTGCGGTTGAGGACAGCCTGGAGATACAACTTCAAATTATCGAGGATAGCGGCAGCTTCATCACTGAAGACCCAGTCTAGGGATGGGATGAGATTATCGTGGTTGATTTTACTTCGCCGTTCATTCGGTATGCGTTGCATCGCATGCATCATTCCAGGCTCCTGATTGTTTTGGGGGGCAAGGGACTGCCCTGCTGTTTGTGAGAGTTACCTAGCTACTTTGTGCATTGTACACGCCTCCTTTTCTTTTATACTATATTAAGGTATTGCTTGACTTTGAAAACCCGGACGCTTGGCGATTCATGTTTCCACCTGAATCGTACGCACCCCTCCATGACAGGGCTGACACTATTGGAATATTTGGACTGATTAGTCTGACGAATCATACCTTTTAGGCACTGCCCACTGATTAGTCTGATTGGTTGATTTCCTATTACTGGTTGATTCAGAGTTATTGTTTTCAAAGGCCCTTATCTATTGTGTAGTGCATCAGATTTAGGTTTTTGCAAAGCTTGACTCTAGAGGGTATTGTCGATGTGGTCCCTGAATGCGGGTTTACTACGGCAAAGTTTCTCAAAATTTTCGAGCGGGGCCATCTCTGCTGAAAAGGCCATTCCAGAAGCAAGCCCTAATGACCCCCTTTACCATACCTCGTAAGCCCCCCAATACTTGTACCGTACTTCCATAGTCGACTTCATCCTATGGCAGCACCTGTAACACCTGAACCCCCTTGTTTTAACCATAACGATAGAACTGTCAAAATATGTTATATGTTGTTTCGGTCGTTGTGGGGTACACTGTACTGAGTACAACCCTTTAGGGTTAGGTCTACTTGTACGTTCCCTTCATGCTAATGCATTCATTCTTGCCTGTTATTTCTGACATTGTATCAGAGCAGGTCCCTCTGTAGGACCGCTCCGTTATGGCCCACCGTTAATTTTCGCACTGTCCGAACTGCCCTGCCCGGTCGTACCTGCCCTGCCCAAACAGTGTCCCTCACGCTGCCCTGCCTGCGCTACCCCACGCGCTCTGCCCTGCCCTGCGCTCTGCCCGCGCTGCCCTGCCCTGCAGCCCATGCGCCACCCTGCCCTGCAGCCCGCGCGCCGCCCTGCCCTGCAGCCCGCGCGCCGCCCTGCCCTGCAGCCCGCGCGCCGCCCTTCCCTGCAGCCCGCGCGCCGCTCTGTCCTGCAGCCCGCACGCCGCCCTGCTCTGCAGCCCGCGCGCCGCCCTGCTCTGCAGACCGTGCACCGCCCTACCTTGCAGCCAGCGCGCCGCCCTTCCCTGCAGCCCGCGCGCCGCCCTGCCCTGCAGCCCGCACGCCGCCCTGCCCTGCATCCCGTGCTCCGCCCTGCCCTGCAGCCTGCGCGTCGCCCTGCTCTGCAGCCCGCGCGCTACCCTACCCTGCAGCCCGTGTGCCCGCTTTGCGCGCCTTGCTGCCCGTGTGCCCTGTTGCTAGCGTGCCCCGCTGCCTGCACGCCCTCAGTAGTCCGTCGAGCGCCCTTAGTACGCCTTAGTCCTGCTGGCGCCATCACTCCTACTACCATCTGCCATTGCCTGTCATGGCCCAGATTGCTGTCTTAGCAGTTGACGTAGACGGACGCCCTTTCCGGCTAGAGTTGTAGCTTTTGTGCCTACACCGGTATCTCCGTCGTGGAGTTAGAGATGGAATCTCCCTGCTCGAGCACACGTCGGGGTCCCTTCCGGCTCCCATAACTCCCATGCCTGCTGCTGACGATGGCGAGGACGTGCAGCGGCAGTACCGGGCGGACCGTGCTGCCTGCACACAGTGGTCGGGGCGCGACGCTGTCGCACAGTTTGCCTTCCGAGCTCACCTACCGATCGACCAGCGGGCCAACTTTCGTCAGGTCACGTCAGCCCAGCCTCTTTACGATGCTGTCGTTATACACTACTCCTCCCTCTCTCCTGACACCCGGCCACTGCGGCAGTTCAGTCCGTCGTTAGAGGAGGTGCACCAGCTGGTCGAGGAGGCGTGTGTAGGTACCTGTGTGTCTGCTCGTTCAGGTGGTGCCGCTGGTGGAGGCGGAGGTTCTGGGGGTGTACAGCTGCCGCAGCAGTGTCAGCAGGAGACAGTCCCTGGTGGTGTAGATGTTGCTAGTCTAGGTGCCTGTGAGCCTGCTAGCACAGGTGCAGCCCCTGTGGAGGCTTTGCACACCTTCACGCTTGACTCCAGCGCGACTCGCGACTGCACCACGGTCACACCCCTCACTACAATTGTCCCGCTCACTCTGGCTGACCCCTCTGGTGGCCCAGTAGTTGCACGTGGCTCCACCGTTCTCCCGTTTCCGGCAGCCCCCTCCGGCTCCCTCACAGGTTTCCACCTCCCCTCGTTCTCTAAGAACTTAGTGAGTAACGCTGTCCTCCAGGACCTATTTGTCACTGCCACTACTCCTGGGGGTGAGCTTGTGGCGATCTGTACGGAATCACGCACTGGTGAGCACCTCGTCATTTTCACTCAGAGCCTTGGCTCTGGCCTGTACACACTGACCACTGAGTTTGCACAGGTGGATGCGTCGGGTCACGTAGCTGCGTCAGGTCAGGTAGCAGCGTCGGGTCAGTTAGCTGCGTCTTGTTCGTGTCGGTTACTCACGCACCCGTTTCTCCTCTGGCACCACCGTCTTGGTCACCCCTCCTTGCCGCGCCAGTGTGGCATGCACTCTCGTCTCCTTGTCTTTGGCCTCCCCAGGTCCCTACCCCCGCTCCCGCGCTCGCTTGCACTGCCGTGCCTTCCCTGCGTCGAAGGGCGCAGGGCGCCGCTCCTCACTCCTCCTCGTTTCCTCCGACCACCGCTCCTCTGCAGACTCTCCACATGGACGTGTGGGGCCCCGCCCACCTCTGTGGACAGGACCAAGATCGCTACTTTCACACGCGTTACACCACGGTCTTCACCTTGCGGAGAAAGGCGGATGTCAGTGGTGTTTTGATCCCCTGGATCACCGCTGTTCGTCGCCAGCTCAGAGCGTGGTTCCAGTAGGACCTCCAGGTCCTGCGACTGGACTCTGATAGAGGCGGTGAGTTTTCCTCCCGCCTCCTTGAGGACTTCTGTCGTGCGGAGGGCATCGCCCAGTCGTTCACGCTTCCGGCCTCCCCACACCATAATGGGATTGCTGAGCGTCGCATTGGCTTGATCATGGAGGTTGCTCGTACCTCCATGATCCATGCGGCTGCTCCCCATTTTCTGTGGTCGTTTGCAGTCCGATACGCCGCGCATCAGCTCAACCTCTGGCCGTGTGTCTCTGTGCCAGAGACCTCGCCTACACTGCGTTGGATGGGGGAGGTTGGCGGTGCGTCGCCGTTTCGGGTCTGGGGCGCGCTCTCCCTTGTCCGCGATACCACCGCGGGCAAGCTCTCTCCTCGCACTCTCCGCTACGTCTTCCTTGGCTTCCTCACCGACGCCCCGCCATGGAAGTTTTACTACCCTGCCTCGCGTCGCGTCCTGTCCTCACAGGACGTCACCTTTGACGAGTCGGTCTGCTTCTATCGTCTCCACCCGCACATGTCTTCCCCACTCTCCCCGCCGCCCCTCTTCCTGGTCCCAGGTCCCCCCCGGTAAACCCCCTCCCCCCACTTGATCCTGCTCCCTTAGGGGTGTCTCGGGTCGACCTTTGGAGACACATCTGGCCCAGCTGAGAGGGGTGACCGCGCTGCTGACGACACGGCGACCACGCGCCGCTCCCCGCGCTTGGAGACTCCTCCTGGTTTTCCGCCTTGGCCGTCTTTGCCACCTCCGCAGCCTATCGATGTGGACTCTGGTGCTGCTGGGGGTGGTCACACTGGGGGTGCGGACTCTGGAGGTGCTGGTCATGGGGTTGCTGAGTCTGGGGGTGCTGGTTCTGGGGTTGCTGCGAGTCCTAGTGGTGGTGGGGTCGTGGGTGCTCCTGCTGGAGGTTCTAGCGTTGGACAGCAGCAGCTTCGCGAGTGGGTTGTTCGGCGAGGCCGCTTTGGTGCTGGCGCTTGGAGTACTGGTGCTGGAGGTGCTGGAGGTGCAGGAGCTGCTGGTGCTGGAGGTGCTGGAGTTGGAGGTGCTGGAGGTACTGAAGTTGCTGGTGCTGGAGGTCCTGGAGCTGGAGGTGCTAGAGGTGCTGCCGCGGGAGGTTCTGGAGGTACTAGAGCTGGAGGTGCTGGAGGTGCTAGAGCTGCTGGTGCTGGAGGTACTGGAGCTGCTGGTGCTGGAGGTGCTGGAGCTGGAGGTGCTGGAGGTACTGGAGCTGCTAGTGCTGGAGGTATTGGAGTTGTTGGTGCTAGAGGTGCTGGAGCTGGAGGTACTAGAGCTTCTGGTGCTTGAGGTACTGGAGCTGCTGGTGCTGGAGGTACTGGAGCTACTGGTGCCAGAGGTACTGGAGCTGGAGGTTCTGGAGGTACTGGAGCTGGAGGTACTAGAGCTGCTGGTGCTGGAGGTACTCGAGCTGCTGGTGCTAGAGGTACTGGAGCTGCTGGTGCTGGAGGTACTGGAGCTGCTGGTGCTAGAGGTGCTGGAGCTGGAGGTATTGGAGCTGCTGGTGCTGGAGGTACTGGAGCTGTTGGTGCTGGAGGTACTGGAGCTACTTGTGCTAGAGGTACTGGAGCTGCAGGTTCTGGAGGTACTGGAGCTAGATGTTCTGGAGGTGCTGGAGCTGGAGGCTCTGGTACTGTGGGTACTGCGCCGCGACGACCGTTTTTCTACCAGCAGCCGCAGTCGTCCCTGCCACCGCCTGGCTCGGCACTTCGTCAGGTTCTTAGTATTCCGTTTTTCACTAGCCTTACTCCACCTCTCCTGTGTCCTCTGCCTGACCAGTCACAGCCGCAGTTACTACCTGCCTCTCGAGTACCTGCTCCTTCTCCTTACCTTGCGCAGACAGACTCCCTGACAGAGCGTCGTGAGCCCAAGTTTCGTCCTGCCTCCCCTGACTGTCCTCTGTCTGTCAGGGGTGAGCTTGCCCTTTGCAGTGACGTCCTTGAGAACAGGCAGTTTGAGCACGAGTGCCTCGCGGCCACTGTACCTCATCTCGCTTCTATGCTGCTTTGCCATGCACTTGACATCCTTACCCCGCGCTCTTACGCAGAGGCGATCATGGGTGAGTACT